AGCTGAAGTTACTGTGATGATATGGATATAAAATAGTTAAAGGTCATGTAAATTAAAAAAAAAGTCACTAGGTTTTTGAAGGTCAAAATAATTAAAAGCGTATTATCAGTTGATGACAACCAATAGTATAATTTGATTTGCAGAACCACTTTCAAATATATCCTTCATTACTAAAAGTATTCTCCCTGCAAATGTTGAGCATTAGGATATTGTGGTACAATTGTTCTCCCTGTTCCCTGCTTGTTTGTTCATTTGTCCCAATTAATTAAGTGATACTATCAACTTGATAAAGCAATGTGCTGTCACAGAGGAAGGAAACAAGGTTCTGCCTTTTTGCTGAAGCACAAGCTGACATTCCTGATTTGTATACAGGGTGGAGTTCTGCATTCTTTTTATTCCCGTGAGTGTTGACAGTGATGACAGTTCTTATGAGAGGGACAGTACTTTGATCATGTGCGTAGCTGGGTATGAGGAGGAAGCTTGCATTAATTATTGTAAGGGACACAATGACTTAGGAAAGCTGCGTGAGTGAATGGGAAGCTAGAAATTCTGATTCTTCTGCCCCTTTTCTGCAAAAAAAAATAATGCTGTTGTGCTGTAATGCAAGTTATAAAGCAGCTTTGCAGTAAACAGGATGAAAAGATGGATCCAAATTAAAACAGGAAAAAAACCCTGTTTTGTTATTTTCAGGGGGGGGAAGGGGAACCCCAAAGTTATGAAAAATTGCCTGATCCGATTCACAAATAGTTGTATCAGCACAACTCAAGGATCATGGCACTGTGGTATAAACTCCACAAGCTGGTGTAGCTGCTAGAGTATTCATACTGTTAAAACCACAACCAAAGAAATCATAGTACCCTTAGCAGAATTTAATTAAAACTTCCAAATAATTCATTATTGTGGTGGTCAGTTCATTTTGAGTTAGGGGAGAGTAATTTTCTCCAAGTAGTTTGCCTGCAGCAGTGGAGTAGACTACAGGAATTTCTTGTTTATGAGTTCTTCATAAATTACCAAATCAGAGTCACATGGCTTTATACTCTTAAAGAGATTATTAGCTGTTAAACTTTAGTTGCTAAAGGTCATGGAATTATAGTATGATGAGAGTGCTGTTCAAGCACTATCTTGTCACTTCTTGTTCCTTCATTGACTGACTTGCTAACCAACATATTTAATGCCTTGGGGAATCTGCATCTTACTACTCTTTCCTTCCTAGTAGCTTTACAGATTTCCGTGAATGAAACAATAGCGATTTCACATGTTCACTTCCTCAGTTAGTTTCATTTCAGCCATCTGGTGGTGATGTCACACATAATCACCTGCGCCTAACAAGCACCTGATAGTTTTCCTTCCTCGGGGACCGAAAGTACAATACACATACATACCAGCTCTCTATCAGGCTGTATTTGTACTACAAACAGTGGTTTGCTATCATGATTCAGATAAAGAGGAGACTATTTCAGCTGTTTTACTTTAGATCATTTCCTGCAACTTTACTCATCCTCTCAATTAACATGTATACACATTTGGGTTTTTTTCCAAGTTAGCCATTAAAGAGGTTAAGTAGGTTGGGCCCTGTGACTAATGTTTCCTTGGCTCTGACTGTATATTGCTGCTCCCCTGGAGTATTCCACAATACTTTATTAGCATGCGGTGGATACTCTGAGATTCCTAATTGTAGGACAACACTTGAAAACGGTCTAGAAATCTCAGAGCTTCACAATGAGAAATCCTGGCCATAATTACAGAAGTACTTGTACTGTAAAAAGACCACATCTTGCATTAGCATTGTCATTACTAATACAGCTCCCTGCTGCTGAGCTTTCATGTTCTGTATTGATGTAAAAAAAATAATTACCAGTGCCAGAGCAAAACTTGGTCAAGATGGTGCTGCAGTAACTGGATGAGGCTTTTCAACCCCTATACAAGTTTGTTGTTCCACTACCAAGGTGGTAAACAGTTTTTATCATTGCTGATGCCTTATCACAGGCAACAAATAAAAAATGCAGTCGCTGAACTATTTTTCTATACAAAGTTTAAATGTAATCCTCTTGTTTTAGAAGTGTCAGCAATATAAAGAGGCAGCAGTTAAATGGAAACAGCATGATCCATTAATAAGCAGTAAGCATTTCCCCCACCAGTGTTTAATTGTGAATCATGCTGAAAATTACCTCCATGGATTTAAGTCCTGATCTTAAATATTCATTTGCATAGAAAATGGGTTTGTTCCAGAGCTGAGGCTTGTCTATATAGACACTCACCCAGAACAATAAAACCTTTTTATTTTAAGTTAACTTTAGAAATCACCTTAGCTACATTAGAGGAAAAGGCATATGTTCTAAAATAATTCACTTCAAGGGTACTCCTTTGCAGTGCTTCTCCACCTAGGACTACACTCCAGATGGTAGTACTGCAAAGAAAACTGATTACTCCTTCCACACCTCACTGTAAGAAAGAAATGTCATTTACTATGCTTTAGCTAATCTTCCTCTATTGTCTTTTATGCTACCCGGTACGCTTCAGCATAGGGGAGCAGAAAGTATATAGATAGTACTACAGGTGTTACATGTTATGGGTGTGTTGATTTCTGCTTTTGAGTCACACCACTGACTGAAAGTTAATTTCCTCCTTCTGTATCCTACTCCAGTAAAAAAAAAAAAAAAAAAATCTATTTAAACACAAACACCAGTTTTACTTCCCTTATCTTTTGCAGAGATTTGTGTGTTAAGAATCACAATCAGGAAGGAATATTCTGCAACCTTCACAGAAATTTCTGATGGAGATACACTAATGGAAGAATCAGTTGCAGATAGCATTATTTCAGTAGAAACTGTACTTTTCATAACCCAGACACTGCTGCCCA